TTGTATGGAACGACCCGACCCAAAGTCGTCGACACGCTGCTCGAGAGAGTCCCGGGGATCACGATCGCGACGGACATCATCTGCGGCTTCCCGGGGGAGACGGAGGAGGACTGGGAGATGACGATGGCGCTGTGCAGGAAGTACGACTTCATCGAGCTGCACCTGTCGCAGTTTTACCCGCGCCCAGGGACGCCCGCGGCGCGCATGAAAAAAGTCAACTCGCGAGAGGTGAAACGCCGCAGCCGCGAGCTCACGAATTACATCGAATCCTATCTCCCGCACGGCGCGCTCGTCGGGACGACGCAGCGCGTCTGGGTCACGGACATCGCGAAATACGGGATTTCACTCGTCGCGCACACGAAGAGCTACGTCCAGGTGTTGCTTCCGGGCGGAGAGGCGGAGCGCGCGCGGCTGATGGGGAAATCGGCAGTCGTGAAGATCATCGAGTCGGCGCGGTGGTACGTAAGGGGGGAGGTTCTGGAGGTGGAGGAGCGGACCATCGCGCGTCCGAGGCCGCCGCCGACGACGACGACGACGACGACGGCGGCGACGACGACGGCGACGAAAGGGACGGTGGTCAAAGCGAGGAAGGGAGGGATGTTCGCCGCGTTGGACGCCGAGCTGGAGAAGAGGAAGAACGCGAAAGACGGCGGGGGGTCGTGCGCGACGTGCGGCGCCGCGGAGGGCGAGACGTGCGGGGAGTCCTCTTCTTCTTCTTCTTCCGCGACGGCGACGAGGACCGGGTCGGCGTCGTTCACGTCGCTGGAGTATCTTCTCTTCGGAGGGATAGCGTTGGGCGTCCTCGGCGTCGTCTTCGCCGCGATTTGGCAGTGGCGGCTGTCGACGACGACGACGGGATGACGCGCGCGATCGATCTTCCTCGCCAGCGCGCGCTCTGAGCGAGTCGAAACTACTGTAGTATCTCACCTAACTAGTTTATCTTATCATCGCCCACCTCACGCGCCCGCGCATCTCCTACTGTACTACATGACTTCCTTCCCATCACCGCCGCCCGCGCGCGACGAGAAACACCTCGCTCGAATCGCGCCGCGTCGCCCTCGGTCGGTACCACCGCACTCTGTCGAACGCGCGCGCGCACACCGCCTGGAGGTCAGCCTTCCCGCCGCCCGGGCCTTCGAGGAGCTTCACGACGAGCGAGCCGCCCTTGCGAAGGACGCCGGTCTCCTCGCGCCCGCCGCGGTCGCCGCCGTCGGGATCCGGACTCGACGAGATCGCGCTCGTCCGGTGCCCGAACGATGACGATCCTTCGTCGTCGTCGTCGTCGTCGTCGTCGTCGTCGTACAGGACGTCGAGCGCGCGCTCGCCCAGCGCGATCCTCACCGCCGCCTCCGCGAGCTCGTACGACCGCGCGGCGTCCACGTCCGCGGCGCCGGTCGTGCTCGGCGCCATGTCCGATAGCACGACGGTGAACGGTCGCGTCCGTCGCCGCGTCGCGATCGATTCGTCCCCGTCCCCGTCCCCGTCCCCGTCCCCGTCCCCGCCCCGCAGCGCGCGAAGGCGCTTCTCGCACAGCGTCGTCGCGTCCGCCACCGCGAAGCGCGCCCTGCGGTCCACGTGTCGAAGCGTCCCGAGCTCGGTCTCTCTCAGATCCACCCCGAGGACGCCGCCGCCCTCGTCGGGGTGCCCGAGCGCGCGGCACGCCACCTGCGTCCACGCGCCGGGATGGCAGCCGAGGTCGAGCACGTGCGCGCCCTTGCGCAGTATCCCGAACCTGTCGCTCAGCTCGAGGAGCTTGAACGCGGAGCGCGCGACGTACCCCAACCGCTTCGCCTCCTTGGCGTAGAAGTCGGTCAGGCCCTTCCGCGCGCCCGCGGCGACCATCGCGAGTGCGGCGAGACGGTGATGGTGATGATGTTTACGTATCTTATAACTCGCCGCTGAAAAAAATATTGTCGTGCGTGATCTCCGATTACATTCGTTCCAACCCGCCGCGCGTCTGTCGTTCATCCGTATTAATCATCACTCACTGCGTGTACACCGCGTCGACGTCCTCCAGCTCGAGCAACTTCTCCACGAGCGCTTCGTTCACCTCCGCCGCCTCGTCGCTCACCTCCACCGACGCGAGCGGAATCATCTTCAGCGCGGTCTCGTCCGGGTTGATTTCGAACCCCGCGTCTCCGAGCGCCCTCTGGCACTGCATGAACCCCTGCACCTCCGTGTAGATCGTGAACCCGTCCTCGCCGTCCTCTCTCGGGACGACGTCGTCGCCGCCGTTCTCGCACGCCACCTCGAACACGTTCTCCTCCTCGTCGAGCGCGCAGTCGATCGTGATGACGCCCTTGCGCTCAAAGTTGAAGAGCACTGAGGGTCGTTCCATACAAGCGACGTCGGGGTGGAGTTGAAAGGCGTCAGTTGGCGTTGAAAGGCATCGAGGGCGGGGATTGAACGCGAGGGACCCTGGGCGGAGAGATGCGCCGGGAAAAGTCCTTAAGGAACGGCGTGCACCACGCGAACGCGGTCGTATGGGAACCAGTGTATAGAACGCACCCGATCCCGGCTCGGCGACTTTGCCGCCGTTTTTGTTGATGGTCGCCTTGGTGTCCGCCGCCGCGCGGTTGACGTTGTCGCTCAACACCTCGATGACGATCCCGACGCCGCCCTCGCCGTAGGCTTCGTACGTCAGCTCCATGTAGTCCGCCTGGCTGCCATCCGTCGCGCGCTTGATGTTTCGGTCGACGAGCTCTCTCGGGACGGAGAGGCGCGCGGCGTCCGCGAGGACGCGCGCGAGCTGCGTGTTCGAAACGGGGTCCGCGCCGCCGCCCTCCTTGACCGCGGCGACGATGAGCTTGCCGTACTTGCCGTACAGCTTCGTGCGCTTAGCCTCGCCCTTCTGCTTCTTCGCCGCCACCTTGGCAGCCTTGCGGCCCATGCAGACGGGCGACAACGTCAGCGGCCGACGAGACGACGGCGGCGACGATGCGACGGCCCTCGACGCGCGGCGCGACGCGACGCGCGCGAGGGCGTACGACGCGCGCGACGCGAGCGACGCGACGGACGACGCGACGGTGAACGCGGACATGACGACGACGACGACGACGCGCCGTGCGGGAGGGCGAGGGCGTGCCTCGCGCGCGCGGAAGTGAGGGACGCCGCCGCGCCGCGGTTTATCCACTTGGCTTCAACGTGGCCGTCCCTTGGCGTGGGCCGTAGTTGTCCGAGAGCGATTCCCACGAAAGCAGTTCATCGGTCAGTTGAAAAGGGAAGCGATCAAACGTTGAAACTGAGTGGTGGGTGAAAAACGTTTGTAAGCCATGCTGAGAACGCTTTTTACGCGTTCGCGTCGACGAGCGCTTTTTCCACACGCCATCCATCGTCGCGCCCGCATGGCGGCACGCACGGTCGGGGCGCTGTGCCTCGCGGGCCGCGGCCCCGCGCCGCCGTCGCGCGGCGCGCGCGGACGCGGCGCGCGCGGCGCGCGCGGACGCGGCGCCGGGGGCACCGGACGACGCGCCCCGCGAGAGGCGCCGCCCGCGGGCGACGGGTGGGGCGAGCGCATTCGACGACAACGACGAGACGCAGACGACGCGTCGTCGTTCGACGACGACGCGTCCGACGTGCGCGGCGCCGCGCGCGGCGAGGAGGGGGCGTGGCGATACGCGAGCCCGAGCCGCGCGAGGGCGTGGGAGCGCTCGACGGCGACGCCGCTGCGGGACGACGAGGCGTTCCGCGTCGTCGACGTCGCGAAGCGCCGCGGACGCGGCGGGCGAGGCGCGTCGTCGTCGTCGTCGTCGTCGTCGTCGTCGTCGTCGTCGTCGTCGTCGTCGTCGTCGTCGTCGCCGCCGCCGTCGTCGTCGTCCGCGAGGACGCCGCGGCCGCGGTCGGAGGAGGAGGTGGACGAGGAGGACGACGACGACGCGACGCGGGAGTCCTCCTCAAGCGCCTCGAGCGCCTCGAGCGCCTCGAGAGGGGGCGTTCGCGTGAACAAATGCTTCAAGGACTTCACGTCGCGAAGAAACGCGGACCGGCTCGTGGCGTCGGGCGCGGTGACCGTCAACGGCGCGGTGGTCGCCGCGGGGGCGATGGTGTTCCCCGGGGACGTCGTCGAGCTGCGCGGCGAGAGAGTGCGATGGGAGACGCTCAACGTCATCGATGAATCACGGGAGAGCGCAACGTCGTCATCGCCAGCGGCGTCCCGCGGCTCGCGGTTCAAGTACGTGAAGTACTGGAAGCCGCGCGGGGTGACGTGCACGACGGACGCGCGCGACCGGACGAACATCGTCGACGCGGTGAACTACCCGGACGCGCGGTTGTTCCCCGTCGGACGGCTCGATAAGGACAGCACGGGCTTGATCCTTCTCACCTCGGATGGTCGGCTGCCCAACGCGGCGCTGCGAAGCGGGCGAAAGCGCGATAAAAAGTATCTCGTCGTCGTGGACGCGGTCGTGCGACCCGAGGACGTTCGAATGCTGCGAGACGGCGTCGTGATATCCACGCCCGTGCAGAGGGACCGCGTGGACAGGGTCCTCACCGCGCGCACGCTGCCGTGCGAGATCGACGTGGTCGGCGCGCGCACGTTGGAGATCACCCTGCGCGAGGGCCGGAACCGGCAGATTCGCCGGATGCTCGACGCGGTGGGCTATCGCGTGATTAACCTGCACAGGACGGAGATCATGGGGATCGGGTTGAGGGGGACGCGTGAAGGGAGATGGGTCGAGTGCGACGAGGAGGAGCTCGGGATCATTCGGCGCTGCATCGCCGAGGCGGAAGACGCGGGTGGCTGCGGCGAATCGGAGTGAATACGCGGGAAAAGTCCTTAAGGATCGGCGTTCACCACGCCAACGCGGTCGTATGGGAACCAGTGTATAGAACGCACCTCAGCGACCTAATATTAATCGTTATTATTAGACTCTGGGCGAGCGTTCGCGCGCGATGTGATAATAGTGCGATGCGTATTACAAGCCAAGTGCGCGCGGGCGATCCATGCTTATGTAATCTCCCCATGCTTATGTAATCTCCCGACTCGCCGCCTTCAACGACGCCGCCGCTCACTTCTTCACCTTTCGGACGTACTTCCCGCTGGTGGTGTCGACGACGATCTTCTCGCCGATCTGAATGAACAGCGGCACGATCACCGTGGCGCCCGTCTCCACCGTCGCGGGCTTGTCCCCGCCCGACGCGGTGTTCCCCTTCACGCCCGGATCCGTCATCGTCACCTCGAGCTCGACGTTCAGAGGCAGGTCCACGCCGATGACCTTGTCGTTCCACGAGAGCACCTCGCAGTTTTGCCCCTCCAGCAGATACTTGGAGAAATCGTCGTCGTCGATGCGCGTCTCCTCGTACGTCTCCATGTCCATGAACACGAACTGCTCACCGTCCTTGTACGTGTACTGCATCGTGCGCTTTTCCACGTCCGCGGTCTGAAGCTTCTCCCCCGCCCTGAACGTCTTCTCGTTCGTGCTCTTCGTGAGGTAGTTCTTCAGCTTGGACCGCACGAACGCGGAGCCCTTCCCGGGCTTGACGTGCATGAACTCGACCACCTTGTACGGCGCGTTGTCCACCTCGACGTTGACGCCAACCTTGAAGTCGTTCGTAGAGATGGTCCCGGCGCGGATCGTGAGCGCGCCGCGGCGCGCGGGCGCGGACCTGCTGTGAGGAGGTGGAGGAAGCGGAGGAGAGAGAGAGGGAGGACGGGGTCGAGGTCAGTCGGACGACGACGAGAGACGGCGGTGGGAGGACGTCGCGTCGTCGCGACGGTTCCGGGACTCGCCACGTCGACGACGCGGGCGCGCGCGCGACGCGTGGACGCGCGGGGGGGGAGAGGACGCGTCGCGGACCTGCGGGCGGGCGCGTTGACGCGGAGCGCGGCCGCGGAGGAGACGGAAGCGGCGAAAGCCATGGCCATCGCGTCGGTCGTGAGGCCGTGCGGCGGGGCGGGGTGTGATGATAGTTACGACAATCGGCGGCGGTCGCGGTCCGCCACAAAAAAAGGTTCCGGATAGGCCAAAAAGTGTGATGCAACGTGCACTGTGACTGTATACACATAGAAATGTACGCTTAGTACGTAGTACATTTTCGGTGGCGGAAAATTCAACCTTCGTAAGAAATCGTTCGAAATCTTGTCCCGCGTCACTCTCCGCGCGTCACCCCGCGGCGTCCGCGGCGGCGTCCGCGCTGCCGAACGACGACACCAAGTCCGTGTCGCTGAACGACCGTCGCCGGTCCTCGCCGACCGCGCCGATCCGCTTCGCCCGGAGCGGCGCGCCGACCGACGCGGCGGCCGAACCCGGGCCCGCGTCCGCGTCCGCCGCCGCCGCCGCCGCCGCCGCCGCCTCTCCGCCGCCGCCCGTCGCCGCCGCTCCCCTCGAGCGCTCCCTCGACGCGCCGACGCGCGCGCCGATCCAGACGCCGTAGCCGTGTCCCGCACCGCGCGCCGAGATCGCCGCGCGAATCGCGTCGCCGTCCGCGGAGAGACTCCGTCGGTGACTCGGCCGCCGCGGCGTCGACGCGCTCAAATTTTCCCTCGGCGGCGGCGGCGGCGGCGGCGGCGGCGGCGGCGGCGACCGGCGTCCGCCGTACAGCGACGACCTCAGCGCCATCAGCGCGCTGCCGTCGAGCGCCCGCCGCGCGTTGCCGTCGTCGTCGTCGGGGGTGAGCGACCCGCCCGACGCGGACGCGGACGCGGACTCGTCACCGCCCCCCCCCGCGCCGCCGACGGACGCGAACGACGACGCGCTCGTCGATCCGCCGCCGCCGGCGGAGGCGGTGACGAAGCTCTCCGTCGACGCGCTTCGCTTCGCGCACTCCGCGGTCGTCGCCTTCTTCTCCGCGTTCGTCGTCGTCGTCGGCGGCGGCGTCGTCGTCGTCGTCGTCGTCGCGAACGGCGACGACGGGAGGCTCCAGCTCGTCTGCTCCGACGTCGCGGGCGGCGGCGGCGCGCCGAACGCGCCCGTCAGCGCGGACGGCAGCGTCACGCTCGGCTTCTTCGCGTGTCCCGCGGAGACTCCGCTCGGTCTCTTCGCGACGACGGGCTTCGCCACCTCCGCCGTCGTCGTCGCCATTTCCGACGCCATTTCCGCCGCCGCCGTCTCGGGCGGCGGCGTCGCCGCGCCGGCCGCGCCCGCCGCAAACGTCGCGGAGGCCGCCGCGCCCGCGCCCAATCGATGCCGTCCCCCGCTCCGCGCGCGCGCCTCCCTCCTCGCCGCCTCCGCCGCCGCCGACCGCGCGCGGACCGTGCTCTCCTCGCGCGCGGCTCGCTGCCAGTCCGCGATGGCGCCGCTCGCGTGTCGATGCGCGCGTCGCACGAGCGCGTCGACGCGCGCCGCGTGCATCGGCGCGATCCACCCGCTCGCGACGCCGGGAGGGCGGAGGTAGAGATTGATCTCGTGATCCTTGGACGCGGACGCGAGCGCGCGATTGGACGTCGCGCGCATGAGCGCGTTCAGCAGCGAGGCGTACGACGGCGGGCGCGCGCGCGTTGCGGTCGGCGCAAGAGGGCCGCGGTCGGGGGTCGCGCTCCACGGCCGCCAAAGCCACGACCGAGAGAGCCACTCCGCGGTGAACGGGTTGACGCGCTCCCACAGGAGCCTCCACCCGCCGAGGCCGCCGTCGTGCGGGGTCAGGTTTCGAAACGCGAGGTAATCGTCGTCGTCCACGTCGACGACGATGACGGTCTCGACGCCCATCTTCTCGCGCATGACGTCCACGGGTATGGAGTTGAGGTAGCCGCCGTCCACGAGAAAGTCGCCGTCTTCCGAGACCACGGGCGGGAGTAATCCCAACACGGTCATCGACGCGCGGACGCACTTCCACGTCGTTCCGCGGACGTGCGTGGACAGCTCGCCGCGCGTGAGGTTCGTGCTGCAGCAGAAGAACGCCAGCCACAGGTCTTCGATGTCGCCGTGTTCCCCGAGCGCCGTCTTCAGAATAGCGTCCACGCTCTTCCCGCTGAAGAGCGACAACACCGGCAACGTCAGATCCGTGATCAGACGCCGCGGCGACGACAACGCGCCCACGAGATCCTTCACCTGAGGTGGAGTTGAAAGGCGTCAGTTGGCGTTGAAAGGCGTCGAGGGCGGGGATTGAAAGCGAGGGACCCTGGGCGGAGAGACACGCCGGGCAAAGTCCTTAAGGATCGGCGTTCACCACGCCGACGCGGTCGTATGGAGACCAGTGTGAGATAGAACGCGCCTGAGGCAGCATGTGCGACGTGGACGCGTGCGCGGCGTACAGCGCCGCCACGAGCGCGCCCTGCGACGTCCCGCCCACGACGTCGACGGGGACGCCCGCGTCCTCCAAAGCGCGCAGCGCGCCGAGGTGCGCGAGGCCGTGGCCGCCGCCGCCCGTCAAGACGACGCCGACGGCGTGCCCGGCGACGTGCCGAGCCAACCGCGAGAGGTCCTCCTCCTCGTCGACGCGAAGCGGATGATGCCGCGCGACGGACGGACGGCACGCGCGCCATCGCTTCGAGTCGCGCGGCGCGCACCCTGGGGCGTGGACGAGGACGAGCTCCGTCGTCGCGCCGCGTCGCCGTCGCCACAGCAACTTTTCCTCGTGCGGTCGCGGCGTCGCGTCCGCCGCGTCCGCGTGCGCGACGACGATGACTCTGTCCGCCTGAGACACGCACACCTGCGACCACGGCGACGCGCTCGCGTCGGTCTGGAGTACTATGAACCGGTACCGCTCCTCTTGCTGCGCCATCCACGCGGTGAGCTTGGAGCGGTAAAACTTGGACGCGAGCCGCGTCATCGTGCGGTCGTCGTCGGGGAACACGCCGCGAGCCGCCGTCTCGTCCAGCCAGAGCGTCTTTCCGAAGCCCTCGAGCGCCCAGCGCAAGCCCTGCGCGAGCGACGCGAGCGCGACGTCGTCGCGCCCGGCGCTCGCGGGGACGAGCGCGATCGTGACGACGTCCGGCGCGCGCGGGAAGGATAACGTGCCTCGCCTCGCGTCGTGCAGCTTTCTCGCCATCGCCTCCAACAGACGACTCGCCGCCGTCGGATTCCGCGCGCAAATCAACGTCAACGCGCCCCGCGACATCCGCACCAGCTCCGTGTCCCTCAAGCACATCGCCGTCGACGCGTACCGCCCGCCGCCGAGCAGCGGCGCCTCGCCGATCGTCTCCCCTCGGCCTCGCTCCTCGCGCGCGCCAGGGTCTCGCCGCGACGCGCCGGCGCCCGTCGACGCGTCCCCGCCGCGCGTCAACCGAATGCGTCCGCTGATGAGCACGAACATCGACGTCGCCTCCTCGCCCCTCTCGAACGCGCACTCGCCCGCGCTGAGCCACACGCGGTTCAACCCGAGGGATATGAACTCCCGCAGGAGGTGCGACAGCGCGCACGACGTCGCGAGCAAGGTGGCGACGTACGCCTCGACGCTCGACGCGCGGAGCTCGTCCAACGCCGCGTGCGTGATCTCCAAGACGACGCACGGCGGCGCGCTCGCGGACGAAGACGAAGACGAACCGTCACCCTTCGGAATAGCGGAATACGAATCGTCGCGGTTTCCGACGATTCCGATTCCAATTCCAACTCCACTTCCTCCGTCGACGAGCTCGTCCGCGGTCGCGACGCGGAGCGTCTCCTGCCGCGGGCTCCGCGTGAGAAACGCGCTGCCGCCGATGAGCCGCGGGCCGGAGACGGCGGCGCCGCGCGCGCCGTTTCCCGCGGGCCACGGCACCGCGTCCGCGCGCGCGACGCCGGACAACAGCAAGAACACCGCGTCCGCGTCGTCGCCCTCGTGGTAGAGCGCCTCGCCGGGATCGAACGTCCGCCTCGCGCAGACGCGTTCCAACGCGGGGAGGTGCCGAAGCAGCGACGCCGCGGGGGACGCGCGATGAGAGGCACGTCTCGAAGCGCCGGCGCCGGCGGCGGGGGCGCCGGCGGGGACGTCCTCCTTGCGCTCGATCTCGCCGCCATCCCTCTCGCCGTCTCCTTCGGCCGAACCCACCCGCACCGCGTCGCCCGCGCCGCCTCTCGGGAGCCCTAAAAAGTCCACCAACACGAAGTGCGCGACGCGCCACAGCCGCGCCACCGCCTGCTGCAGGTACGTCTGGAGCGTCCGCGGGTGACTTTGGGCCATTCCATACAAAAATAGTTCATCGGTCAGTTGAAACGATACGCGATCAAATGTTGAAACCGAAGGATGGGTGAAAAACAAACTTTTGTATAGAACGCACCTTTTAATAAACGTCATCAGCGCCGCTTGCGTGACGCGCACGAGCGTCGCGCCGTCCTGCATCGCGATCACGCTCACGCCTCGCGGCGCGTTGTCGAGCACGTCGACGTCGCCCACGGACTCGCCCTCGCGGAGGATGTTCGTGAGGAACGGCGGGCCCACGGGCGCGCCGTCGCCGTCCGCGAATCCCCCGATCTCGCCGGAGGCGTCGGCGCCGCCGCCGCCGCCGCCGCGCTCCCCGGCGCCCACCGGGTGTTTCGTCGTCCTCTCCTGCAGGTACACCCCGAGGGAGCCCTTCACGACGATGTAGATGCCGCTGCTGCTGTCGTCGTCCTGGCGGAAGACGACAGTGTTCGGCGGCACGGTGAACTCCTCCGCGGCGTCGAACAGCTCGCGCGATTCCTCGAGCTGTCGGGGTGAAGTTCAAAGGCGTCAGTTGGAGTTGAAAGGCGTCGCGGGCGGGGATTGAAAGCGATGGGTGGGAGGAGAGATGCGCCGGGCAAAGTCCTTAAGGATCGGCGTTCACCACGCCAACGGGGTCGTATGGGGACCAGTGTGTAGCACCTCCAGGCAGGCGAAGAATTTCGTGCTCGCGAAAAATTCCGGCGTCGTCTCGTCGCGCGGGCCCGGCGTCGGCGACCGTCCCACAGTACCGAGGGATCGCGACGGCGAGACGCCGGCGGCGTCGCCGCTGCCCGTCGTCGTCGTCGTCGGCGTCGGCGGCGTCGTCGTCCACTCGTCCGACTCTCCTCCTCCTCTCCCGCCGCCGCTTCGAGTCGTCGTCGCGTCGTCTCCCGCCCCGGTTTTGGCCCGCCCCATTGCGTCCTCGCCTCCCGCGAGCGCGTCCATGGTGCGCTCGAGCGCGACGAGCTCCTCCTCGACGCCGCCGCGGTCGTCGTCGCCGCCGCCGCGCGCCGCCGCGCGCCGCGCGCGCGACGTCGTCCGCTCTCGCGCGGCGTCGTCGTCGCCGGGCTCGACCTCCTCGGAATCGTCGCGCGCGTTTCCGACGCCGAAATCGACCGCGACGCGCGCCTCCTTCGCGCGCGCCGCGGCGAGATACGCCGCGCGCAGCGCGTACGCGGCGACCGCCGCGGACGCGCCGTACCCGAGCGCGCGCTTAGAAGCGCGTCTCGAGAGGCTCGGCATCGGGGCGGTGCCTGCCTCCGCGGCGACGGCGCGGACTGCGCGGACCGCGCCCGCTCGCCCTCCGTTGTTTACTCCGAGGGTCTCGTCGACTCCGAGGGGGGCGCGACGACTTTGGATTTTTCATCGTCCTCCAGCGTGGCGGCTCGCAGATATTCTGCGGTAACTAAAAGCGCATACGGAATCTCGCGTACTACGATATCGCGTACCCCCGAACCTCGCGCCGGCCAATAAAGTGCACTTAGGTATTCCTCGGGTGACGACGCGGAGTCGAGTTTTGAACGGCGAATGGCGCGCGAGCGACGCAGTACGCACGGCGCGGCGGTGACGCGGTCACGCGCGCGAGAGAGGAGTATCGACCTCGAACGCGAGCGAAGCGTCGAGCGCGCGCGTCACACCGCGCGAACCGAGGTCGCGACCGCCGTCGACGCCGCGAACGCGAGCGCGGCTCGGCGTCCGTCCTCCCGCTTTTTTTAGGCGGGCGGCGTCTTCTCGACCGACAATCCCGGTCGTCGCGCGCGCGGACGGAGACGCGACGCGAGGTCCCCGCGCGAGGATCTGAGGCGCCATGGAAGCGATGCAACGGCCCGTGTTCCACGTGAACGACGCGCTCGTCTCCAGCAGCGGGCGCGTGGGGTCGCACGGAAGGAGCGGACGCCATCGCGGCGGCACTAGGTGCGACGCGCTCCTCCACCTCGACGTTGACGCGACGCGGAGTGGACGAATCCGTTTACCCCCGCCCCGCGCGCGTCGCGATCCCGCCGCGGCGCGCTTGCGCTCCGCCTCGGTCTCGCTCTTCGTCGCGCGTACGCGTCGTTAGGGTTCCGATCCGCGGGAGAGGGGGCGCCGCGGCGGCGAGCGCACGATCGCGCGCGCGTCGCGGCGCCGCGCGCGCGGCGGCCGCGGGTCCCCCCCAATCCCCCCTCGCGAGCCGCACTCAGGCAAAAAAAGCTGAGTCGGATGCGCGTCCCTTCGCGCGATCCGACGCGCGACGCGACGCGCGCGATCGGTCGCTCCGCCGCCTTGTCCGATCCCTGACGCCTCGTTTCCCTTCCCCGCGCGCAGATGTGCGAGCGGCGTCGCGCCGGGCGGCGCCGCGCGCGGCGTCGCGACGCGCCGGGCGCGGCACCCTGGTGCCGAGGCGCGCGCGCGCGCGCCCCCGATCGCGCGATTCTCGCCGCCCGCCGACGAAAACGTGACGCGTTCGAGTACGGGGAGTAGCGCGGGCTTTCGTTTGAACGACGACGACGCGAGCGCCGCCGGCGAGTCGTCGCGACCGCGCGACGTGTCGACGCGCGCGGCGCCGCCGCGCGATTACGGCTTCGCCGCGTGGGACGACGACACGAAGCGCGGCGACGAGCTCGTCGCGGGCGCGGCGAGACGCGGGAGTAAGAAGGCGGGCAAGGGCGCCGGCGCGGGCGCGGGCGGAGGAAAGAAATCTAAAGACGGAGGAAAGAAATCCAAGGCGGGCGGCGCGATCGGCTCCGGCGGCGCCGCGGACGCGCAGCGGTGGATCGACTCGTGGCGCGCGCAGGCCGCGGCGGCGGTCGTCGCGCTGAAGGGCGGGAACCCGATGTCGTTGGCCGCGCCGGACGACGACGACGACGACGACGACGACGCGCCGGGGAGCGGGGAGGCGCGATCGCGATCAAAATCAAAATCGTCCGACGTCGGGACGCGTCGGCCGTCGATCCTCCCTCACGGCGGGTCTATCCCGTCCATCGCGTTCGCGCAGAGCAAGCTTACGATGGCGTCTTCCACTTCAAGCTCTTCCTCGAGCGGGGCCCCCGGCGCTGAGAAGAAGCTCATCGACGCGTTGGACACGGACCGCGAGTTGGAGCTCGTGAAGATGACGCACGCGGACGGCCGCGACTCCAAGCTCAAAGATCCGACGGCGCCGCCGACGAAGGGGACGGACCTGCTCAACTCCGGGGAGGCGCTGTCGCCCGAGCTCGCGCTGAAGATGGCTCGGAACGGGCACCTCGCCGCGTTCAGCGGCGGCGCCATCGAGCAGCAGGCGCTCGGCGGGCGCGTCGTCGATCCCTCCGCCGACGCCGCCGCCGCCGCGGCGCCGACGAAAGCTGGCGCCGCGTCAAAGAAGCTCCCTATCGGCGCGGATCGCGCCGGCAAGAAGAAGAACGCCAAGAACGCCAAGAAGAAGGACGACTACGTGATGTACTCCAGAGACGTCCTGGACGGCGACCACTTTCCGATCGTGCACGACTTTTCATACGCCGCGTCGCCGACGCCCGTCTTCGTCATGCTGCCCCTCGACGTGGTCACGCGCGATGGCGTCCTACAACACGGCAAGGCGCTCGAGGTGAGCCTCAAGACGCTGAAGAAGATTGGCGTCGAGGGCGTGATGATCGACGTGTGGTGGGGGATCGTCGAACGCGACGGCCCGGGGTCGTACGACTGGGACGCGTACTTGACCCTGATGGAGATGGTTTCAAACGCCGGGTTGAAGCTCAACGCGGTGATGTCGTTTCACGCGTGCGGCGCCAACGTCGGCGATTACTTCGAGGTGAAGCTCCCCGGGTGGGTCCTCGAGGCCGCCGTGGACGACCCGGACCTGTTCTTCACGGACCAGTACGGGTACCGCAACCCGGAGGTCATCTCGTTGTGGGCGGACAACGCGAAGACGCTCGAGGGGCGGACGCCATTGGAATGCTACGGCGACTTCATGCGGAGCTTTCGAGATTCGGTAGAGGCGGCGGGGCTGACGGAGACCCTCTCGGAGATCTCCGTCGGCTGCGGGCCGTGCGGCGAGCTTCGATACCCGGCGTACCCGGAGAACAAGCAGCGCCAGCAGTCGTCGCAGTGGCAGTTCCCCGGCATCGGCGAGTTTCAGGCGCGTTCTATCTCACACTGGTTCCCATACGACCGCGTCGGCGCGGTGAACGCCGATCCTTAAGGACTTTTCCCGGCGTGTCTCTCCGCCCAGGGTCCCTCGCTTTCAATCCCGACACACCTCGACGCCTTTCAACTCCGCTTCTGACGCCTTTGAACTCCACCCCGATATCATCGCTCGTATGGAACGACCCTCAGTGCTACGACCAGCGCGCGCTTGGAAATCTCGCGCGCGCGGGGAGCGAGGCTGGCCACATCGAGTGGGGCGGCGCGGGGCCGCACGACGCGGGCGGGTACAACAACCTCCCGCACGAGACCGGGTTCTTCCGCGCGCACCTCGGGTCGTGGGACACGGAGTACGGGCAGTTTTTCCTCTCCTGGTACAGCGGCGAGCTCGTGGAGCACGGCGATCGGATGCTGCAGTGCGCGCGCGGCGTTTTCGGCGCCAGCGACGACGGCGTACAGCTGGCGCTGAAATGCGCGGGGGTGCACTGGTGGTATAACTCGAGGTCGCACGCCGCGGAGCTCACCGCGGGGTACTTCAACACGCGGAGCGGGGACTACGCGCCGGAGCGGGACGGGTACGAGCCGATCGTGAAGATTTGCGCGAAGCACGAGGCGAGGCTGAACTTTACGTGCGCGGAGATGCGAGACATCGAGCATCCCTTCTTTTCGCGCTGCGGGCCGGAGGGACTGCTTCGACAGATTCGCGCCGCCGCGGGGCGGCACGGCGTCAAGGTGGCGGGCGAGAACGCGCTGTGTCGCTTCGACCAGGACGCGTACGATAAGATCATCACGAACTGCCGCGGGGAAGGGAACGAGAGCGCGCGGTGGGAGTCGGGCGCGCTTCTGCCGCCGATGGCTTCGTTTACGTTTCTTCGCATGACGCGCGAGCTCTTCGAGGATGACAACTTCAACTCGTTCGTGCACTTCGTCACGAGGATGGCGAACGAGACGGGCGTGGACGTCGACGGCGCGGAAGGGGGCGAGCGGACGAGAGAGCTCGTGAAGCCAGAGCGCGTCATGGAGTCGCTGCATCGAAGCGCGGGCGGGTTGAACCTGCACGACTTGAGGCAAGAGACGGCCAGCGGGCTCGTTGCCGCGCAGTTTTCAGATCATATTTGATCTTGAGGGAAAGGTTACGGGGGGTACTTTACTGATAAAGGACGCCGCCGGGGCGAACGGATATTACACCGGGTCGCCTACGCGGGCGTGTACCAACACTACACTACAGCTACACTTACTACTACGAATTCGTACCTCCGACCGGGGGGATATCGCGCGCGGACGCTCTCTCCCGGGCGGGCAAACGAGGAAAACATTCGAATATATTTGTACGATACTTACTACTACACAAAGTCTGTCGTGTATCGCTCGTTCTTCTATATACAACGCTCTACTCCGTCTTCGCTCAAAACGCGCGCTCTCCGCGGCGGCCGTCCCGTCCTTCGCGCGACAGATCACGTGTAGTGCCCGATGAAAAACGCGACGATCGCTGCGCGCGGCGAGACGAGACGGAGGAAACGCTCTCGGTCAATGCGCGCGTCGATCGATCCGTCGTCGACGTCTCGTCGTCGCGCTCACGCGAGGCGCTTCGCCGCGTTGAGGCCGAGCAGGAAGAACAAAAACGCTGAAGAAGAGACGGAGACGACGCGGCACGGCGCGGGAGAAGAGAATCAGATCGATCTGGTACCGCGGACGCGAGAGAGAGAAGAAGGACGAGGCGGCGTAACGGCGGGCGGGGGAAGAAGCGCGAAGAGAAAAAATAGGAAGCTGTGACCGAAAGACGACGCACCGACGAGCAGCAGGTGCATCAGCGTGAATCCCTTCGCCGCCGCGGCGCCCCTGTTGTTGTTCTGAATCGCCATCTTAAGATCCATCGTCAGCGACTCGTTGTTGATCCGGTACCGCTCCAGGTCCCTCTGCAGAACGCTCACGTCGTCGCTCATGGGCCCGCGATGCGCGACGCCCGCGTCCATGGACGACGGCCCGTAGTTGACGCCCTCCGAGTCGTTCCGTACGAGCGAACGTCGGGGTGGAGTTGAAAGGCGTCAGTTGGCGTTGAAAGGCGTCGCGGGCGGGGATTGAACGCGAGGGGCGGGCGGAGAGAGAGGACGGCAAAAGTCCTTAAGGATCGGCGTTCACCGCGCCGACGCGGTCGTATGGGGACCGGTGTGAGATAGAACGCGCCTCGTCCCCCTCCGGCACCGGGCTCGGCGGCGGCGCGGGCTGCGAGTACACGACCCGCAGCTTGCTCTCGGTGATGTCCGCCTTGCCCTTCGCGAATAGCTCCGCGAAGTCCGCGTTCCCTTTGCTCGGCGTCGTCTGCACGAGGAACTTGTCCTTGCACCCGCTGAGCGAGGAGGGTCGTTCGGTTCGATTCGACGCGACGAGACGACGTCGGCGCAGAGTTGGCGGCGGGGCGCGTCAGACGGATGGAGTCGTGAGGCGTCGCGGCGCGTCGGGATCGTGAGCGAGGGGCGGGCGGAGAGAGGCGCCGGGAGAGAAAGTCCTTAAGGAACGGCGTGCACCACGCCGACGCGGTCGTATGGGGACCAGTGTGATGACACTCGAACGCGCCTGATGTCCGCGGGCCACTCGCGCTGAGCTTGCATGATCACCTGGATCATCTGCGTCTCCCCCGGCCTGACGAAGCCGGTGTTGGGTTTCACGCAGTACTTCTTCGGCGCGGTCGTCTTCACCTTGAACGCGGTCTCCTCTTTCCCGGAGTTTGTGATCTTGATCGTCGTCGGGATCGTCTTCTTGAGCTCGACTGCGTCGGTCGATCGCGGGACGGGCGGGGTGAGGGACAGATCCGTTGCGAGACGAGAGAGATTATTTTCTTTGGGGGGTCCGAACGAACGCGACGCGCGGGCGGGGCGACGACGACGCGGGCCGCTCGCGTCGACGGCCGCGCGGGGAGGAGGAGTGGGGGCGCGCACATCGAAACGCGAGTTCCTTCTCCGGGGTGATCTTCAGTCCGTCCGCCATCGCGCCTCGCTCGCGCGCTCCTTCGCGCCTTTTCCTTCCCTCTTCTTCCTTCCCGTCCGTCGCGCGACCTGACCCGCGCGCGCTGCGCTGTCGGTCGCGGTCCGTCGCGAGATCCGACCTCGCGCGCGCGCGATGCCCGCGATCGACGTTCGCGACGGTTCGCGCGATTCGTATCCCGCCGAACCTGCGCTCGTGCGAGTGGACGCGCGGCGTCCTGTGCGCCTCGCGCGCGTCGAACGCGTCGCGTCGGTCGCCGCGTCGGAGAAGCGAGCGAAGATACAGACTCGATGAAGAAGAAAGGCCGCGAGCGCGAGAAGTGCGCGACTTTGCGACTCGACCGGCGGGCGCGATCGGTTCGATAGATTCGACCGAGGCGACCCGCTTTGAAACCCCAGCTTTCTGGGTCAACTGTACAACGTTTCCTGGTTCATCTCGCGATCGCTCGATCGACTTTCATCGGTCGGCCATCAGCGCCGCGTCGGCGCGCTGTCCACCACGTGTCAGGTACCGGACGTCTCCGAGAGATAGCGCGCGCGACCAGACGCCGCGCATCCCGCGCACTCGTCGACGCGCGAGAGGAACGCACGCGCTCCTCCCCCGCGACCGAACGAACCGATGATGGCGATGGCCGCGTCGTCCGCGCGCGCGCGCGCGACCGTCTCGTGCCGCGCGAGCGCCGCGCGAGGCGCGCGAGGCGTCGCGTCGACGTCCTCCGCGTTCGCGGGCACGACGCCGCGCGCGCGCCGCGCGCTCGCGGCGACCGCTTTCGCGGGCGCGACGCTCGCCTCCGCGACGACGACGACGACGACGACGACGACGCGCGCCTTCTTCGGCGGCGGCGGCGGCAAAGTCAGCGGCAGCGCGCACGACTTCACGGTCAAGACCATCGACGGCGTGGACGTTTCGATGGGATCGTTCAAGGGCAGAGCGTGCCTCGTCGTGAACGTGGCGAGCGCGTGAGGCTTGACGGACCAAAACTACAAAGAGCTCGTGACGCTGTACGACAAGTACAAGTCCACGGGCAAGTTTGAGGTTTTGGCGTTCCCTTGCAACCAGTTCGGCGCGCAAGAGCCGGGCAGCGACGCGGAGATCAAGGCGTTCGCCGCCGGGTACGGCGCGACGTTTCCGATGTTCTCCAAGATCGAAGTAAACGGCGACAACGCGCATCCGCTGTATAAGTGGATGAAGGACGCGAAGAAAGAGGCGGGTCCCGCGGGCATGCTCGGCAACGACATCAAGTGGAATTTCGGCAAGTTCTTGCTCGACGGCGACGGGAACGTCGTCGAGCGGTACGTCCCCACGACGTCGCCGCTGCAGATCGAGGACGACGTGAAGAAGCTCGTCAATGCGTGAGGTGCGACGCGAGCTTCGCGAAACCAAACGCCGACGACCGAGCGAGACGCGAACGGGACTACTACGTCGGTCTCGTCTTCTCTTTACTACTACTAGACGAGCGTTCGTTTCTGTTTTCTGTGTTTCTAGCCGACCGTCGGCCCGCGGCCGCGCGATCGTCGCGCGCGTGTGATGCGCCGTTCGCAAACCGAGCGATCCTCGGAGAACGGCGTCGGATGTGTGCGCGCGACGTCGCGACCGAAGTCGAGGGACTCGACCACCGGCGGTTTTGTTTTTCAATCGAAAGTGATAAAGATTTAAATATTTAAAGATTTTCTTTAACACTCAACCTTCGAACACGTCGCCATTCGTTCGTATTAACAACAACTTTGATCGCCGCGCGCGACCGCGCGGCGCGTCCATCCGTCGCCAAAAATCATTCAGTTTCATCGACGCCTCCCCGCCACCCGTTCTCTTCTCTCTCCTCTTCTTCATCCTCTTTCTTCTCTCCCGCCGCCGCGTCCGCCGCCGCGTTTCTCACGCACGACGCGTCATCGCTCACGCCAACCACGTCCGCGGGTTCCTGAACGCGTCGAGCGCGTCCGCCTCGCGCGACCCCTCCTCCGGCTGCATGTCGTACTGCCACCTCGCCGTCAGCGGAAGCGACATGAGAATCGACTCGATCCGACCGCCCGTGCGCAAGCCAAACGTCGTGCCGCGATCGTACACGAGGTTAAACTCGACGTACCGCCCGCGACGCATCTGCTGCCACTCCCGCTGTTGCTCCGTGAACTCGTCGTCCTTGTGCTTCGCGACGAGCGGGACGTACGCCGGGACCACCGCGGCGGCCATGTCCGTGGCGAACGCGAGAAGTTCCTCCTGCGGCCGGTCGTTCATGTCGTCGAAAAACACGCCGCCGATCCCCCGTCGCTCGTTCATCCGATGCTTGATGATGAAGTAATCGTCCGCCCACTCCTTGAACCGCGGGTAGAACGCCTCGTCGTGCTTATCGCACGCGTCTTTGAGCGTCCCGTGGAAGTGCGCGGCGTCCTCCGGGAAGACGTACGACGGGGTGAGATCCGTGCCGCCGCCGAACCACCACGCTCTGGGCGCCGCCTCCGCGCCCTCCGGCGCGTCCGTCTCGAAGTACCGGTAGTTGAAGTGCACCGTGGGCGCCATCGGGTTGTGCGGGTGCATCACGGAGGAGATGCCCGCGGCGAAGAAGGGGATCATCTCTTTGCCCGAGCCCTGCTCTCCCGTCGCGGCGCGATACGCCTCCGGGGGCATCTGGCCGTACACCACGGAGACGTTCACGCCCGCCTTCTCGAAGACGTTGCCGCCCTGGAGGACGCGGGAGATGCCGCCGCCGCCGCCCGGGCGCGTCCACGCGTCCTCTTGGAACTTCTGGCCGTCGAGCTCCTCGACCGCGGAGCAGATCTCGTTTTGCGCGGCGCGAATCATCTTCTCGAATTTCGCGCGCATGGATCCGGCGTCGTCGCCGCCGCCCTCGCGCAGGAGCGTGAGCGGGGCTTCGTCGAGGGCGACTTCTTCTTCGATCGTGCGCGTGGACGGCGCGGCCGCGCGGACGGTGACCTTTTTTAACGGAAAGGAGGGATGGGACGGCGTCAGACGCGCGAACGCTTCGCGGGCGCGGATCGGAGAGAGACGACGGGCAAAGTCCTTAAGGATCGGCGTCCACATCGCCGACGCGGTCGTATGGGGACCAGTGTATACGGATCGACCGACCGATCGATCGATCGCGGAGGCGGACGCTCGCGACCGGGATCGAGGAGCGCTACGGACGCGAGGGATCGAGCGGGACGCACCGTGCGCGGGGTCGCGCTGACCGACGCGCGGGTCTTGAGGGAGACCACGCCGGCGCGGGCCTGCGTGGGATGATGGGACGGAGGAGGGGGGCGAGGGACGCGTCAGCGCGGAGGACGACGGACGAGAGCGATGAGGTTTTTTTCCCTCGTCTCTCCGCGACGGACGGAAGCGAGCGGCGCGCGAGGACGCGAAACCCGCGCGCGCGGGGGCACGCCGCGACGCGCACCTGGACGCCCGGGCGCATGGTCGCCATGGTTACGCAAGCGGAAGCCATCGTGATGGACCGAGAAGGGTGCTCTCGTAGTGAGCTCCGCGGTGACGCTCTGGGCTGATTATTAGGGTGACGGAATCCTCGACTGTGATTGGCTGGATGAAATCAGCTGATGAAATCGAGTTGACGATTGTACGCGCGCGTCTCGTCGCGCGGTAACTAAGAACGCATATGAGTACGAGTACGAGCAAGGTGGAGATCTCCGCTGGCTTGATCTCCGCGCTGGAAAAAAGTGTAGGCCGGCGCGAGCGCATTTCTCGGGTGGCATTTCTCGGGAGGCATCTCGCGGGCGTCCGCCGCGGCGGGGCGAGATGGACTATCCGATGGCGTCCGTCCTCGCGAAGCTCGGGTACGGATGGTACGAGCAGATGCTCTCCGAGGTCGGCGTCTCGACGGTCGGCGACCTCATGGCGTCGGCGACGGCGGCGGCGACGACGACGACGACGACGACGACGACGACGACGAACGACGACGACGACGGCGCGCGCCGCGACCGCGACCGCGTCGCCGCGTTCTTGACCGCGAACGCGTTCAGCGCCGCGCACGCGGACGCGATCGCGGAGGAGATCCTCGAGATCGCGCGCGCGACGGAGAAGGACAAGCGGCGACAGCTGTCCAAGTCTGGCAGCGCGGACGGGATGTTCATGATGGACACCCTGGACGGCGCGGCCGAGGTGCGTTCTATACACTGGTCTCCATACGACCGCGTTCGCGTGGTGAACGCCGATCCTTAAGGACTTTTCCCGGCGTGTCTCTGCGCCCATCCCTCGGTTTCAATCCCCGCCCTCGACGCCTTTGAACGTCAACTGACGCCTTTGAACTCCACCCCGACATTCGCTCGTATAGAACGCCCCTGACTTCGCCGCCGGCGCGTTCGAGGCGAATAACTCGCGCCTGTCGCTGCTCAGAGAAGAGGTCAAGGACGCGAAGACGTTCCCGTCGATATCGCCCGAACGCAGAGCAGAGCTCGAAGGAGGTGCGGGGGACGACGACGATGACGAGAAAGAGCGCCGCCGCGTCGCCGCCGCGGAGGCTGGGCTGAGAGAAGCCGCGACGGCGACGGCGACGGCGACGACGGCGGACGCGGGCGCGACGACGGCGGCGACGGCGACGACGGCGGCGACGACGGCGGCGACGACGCAGGAAACGATTCGCTCGGCGTCCGTCGGCGGCCTCTACGACCGCGCGTTCCTCGACGCGATCGCGCCTTTATACGACCTCCACATGGGCGCGGAGAACCTGGGGCCTCTGTTGTACGCGTGGGTGCGATTCGCGAAGCCGGCGAACGTGTTAGAGATCGGCGCGGGGTACACGTCGATGTTTTTGCTGCGGGCGCTGGAAGACAACGCGGCGGAGATCGAGGCGTATCGCGCGTTGCGGGCGGAGGGCGCGTGCAGATGCGGCGACGCGCCGTGGAGCGTGGACGCGTTCTTCACAAACAAAAACGGTCCGGATGAGAACGTTATTCGAGGGACGTTACACTGCGTCGATAACATGGCGCACGCGCACACGACGGCGAACGCCGTCGCCGCCGCCGCCGAGCGGCTGGGCCTCTCCGACCGCCTCCGACTGCACGAAGCGGACGCGCACGACCCGGACCTCCCGTCGCTCCTCGCGCCGAAGGTGGAGTTCGACATGCTGTGGATCGACCTCGGCGCCGCGCACAAGACGGAACGGTTCGTGAGAGACTGGTGGCCGCGCGTGCGGTCGGACGGAGGCATCGTGGTCGTGCACTCTTCGCTGACCAACGCGATGTCGAGAGGGTGGGTCGAACGCGCGCGAGATCACTGCCACTCGCAGCGCGTTCGCGCCGCGGACGGGAGCGTGGAGCGGCGAAGCGCGGGGCCCGAGCGCGAGGGCGGCGCGAGCGAGTTCGACGAGCTCGGGGAGTTCGAGACGTTGTCGCTGTTGGAGCCGCACAAGATGTTTCAAAACGCGGTCACCGTGTTGCAGAAGAGAGGCGGACGGTTCGGGCGGTACGACGAGCCGGTGCTCACGAAGTTTCCGTGAGCGAGGACGACGACGAGTGATTCCGTGGTGATTCTTTCTCTCTCGTTTTTATAAATTAATATTCGTTTTAGCGTGTTCGTTCTTCTCTCGGAGAATGGTCGCGCGGCGGGCGGCGAAGGAGCGTCGTTCGGTCGCGCGCGGCAATGTCTTCTCTCGCCCGGCGGCGTCTCTTCTCGAGAGAGAGACGCCGCGCGGGAGGAGTCCACACCGTGCGCGCGCGACCTTCACGCGACGTCGGTCGCGTCGTTCGTTTGTTTTAACGCCACTTCGCGCCCTCTTCGCCCCACATCCCGTTTCCGAGCCCGCCCGACCCGAAGAACGACGACCCGAGCCCGCCCAATCCGCCGCCGCCGAACGCCGTCAGCGGGGTATTAGGATTCGGATTTGGGTTCGAAGAATTCGCGCCGGGCGACGCCGCCGATCGCGACGGCGACCCGGGCGCGCCGAGACCCGCGCGCACGCCGCCGGGCGCGGCGTACGGCGACCCGCCCGGCGTTCCGGGACCGTACGCGACGGGACCGGGACCGGGACCGTACCCGCCGGCGGTTCGATCCCCGCCGCCGTTTCCGCCGCCGCTCGACGGCGACCCCGACCCCGCGAGGCGGCCGGTCACCGCCTCGACGGCTCGGACGCCCTCCTCCAACGTCCGCCGCACGCCTGCGAGGTCCGCGACGCTGAGATCGTCCAAACCTTCGCCTCTGAGCGCCGCGAGGCGACGTCGCTCGAGCGAGAGGTCAGCCTCGAGCTGCTCGATCTTCGCGCGCGCGGCGCGGACGACGGCGTGGTCCGCGTCCGAGCCGCCGGAGGACGCGGCGGCGGCGTTCGCGGCGGCGGCGTTCGCGGCGGCGGCGTTCGCGGCAGCCTTCTCCGCCGTTCGCTTCGCCGCGCTGAGCTCCCCTCGCGCGGACTCGAGCTCCTGGCGCAACCCCGCGACGTCGCCCTCGAGCTTGGCCTTCTCCCTCTTCATCGTCGCCGCCGCCTCGATCGCTTTCTGCGCGCGTCGCGTCTCCTCTCTCCGCTCGGCTTTCATCTTTTGCACCGCCGCGTCCGCGTCCCTCGACTTGGCCTCCGCCGCCGCCTTCTCTCTCGCCGCCGCGGCTTGCTTCTCCTCGCGCTCGCCCGTCGCCCAGTCGATCTGCGACGTCACCTCGCGCAGCTTCGCGCAGAGCTCGAGGCGCGTCCGCTCGGCTTTCTCTGCCTCCTTCTTCGCGTCGAGCTTCGTCTGCTTCACGGCGCGCTCCGCCTCCGCCGTCTTCGCCGCCGCCGCTTTCCGGTCCCTCCCGAGCTTCGTCGCCTCGTCCGCGAGCTTCGCCTTCGCGGCGTCCCTCGCGGCGATCGCGTCGTCCGCTTGCTTTTTCGCATCCGCGAGACGTCGCTTGAGCCGCGCCGTTCGCTCGTGCATCATCGCGAGCGCCTCGAACGCGCCCTCGGGGGACGGGGGTTTCGCGCTCGAACGCTTCGAATCCGCGTCGGGCGCGATGTTCGGGTATTTCGCCTTGTACGCCTGCTTGAACAGCGGAAACCATCTCCGCGCTGTCGCGCGATCGGACGTCGGGTCCGCCTCGGTTTCGATCGCGTGAAAATCCCCGGACCACAACCCGACGAGCTCGGACGCGAACGCCAGCAGCAGCGTCAGCGTCGAGCTCGAGCACGAGACGTCGCCCGAAGCTGACGCGTCGGCGCGTCCGCCGCCGTGACTTTGACTTTTGACCGACACTTTATTGTCCGACGCTTCGTCAATCTGCCCGAGCGTCTCCGCGAGCAACATCTTCCGCACGTCGCGCTGCCTCGCGAGGTCGTACGACGCCGCCACCTCGCGCAAGACGGCGACGCCGCCCTCGTCGTGCCCCGCGTCGAACAGCGCTCTCGCCGCCTCCACCGCGGCCACCGCGCACGGCGACGGCGGCTCGAGATCCTCGCTCGTGGCGGCGAACGCCCTTCGCAGGACGACTTTCGTCTCGTCCGCGTCCGCCGCGGTCGTCGCGGTCGTCGCGGTCGTCGCGGCGTCCGGCGACGGCGACGGCGACGGCGACGGCGGCGCGCGGAGGAACCTCTCGGTGTTCTTCTCGTAGAGGATCGACTTCGCGACGGCGGCGACGACCTCGTCGACGTCGAACGCGCCGCGTCGCGTCGCCGTCGTCAGCGTCGCCTTCGCCGCCTCCCGCGTCGCCGGCGACCGCAACGCGGCCATCACGATGGGCAGGTCGACGATCGGGGACGACGGCGGAAGCAGCGGCGCGTCGGACGCGTCGTCGGACAGCTCGCTGTCGTCGGGCGCGACGCCGCGGTCGGTCGACGACGACGTCTCGCGAATCGCGGAGGAGGTCGACCGGCCGAGGACGGCGTTGATCGCCGCCATCTCTTTCCGGTCCGCCTCTCTCTCCGCGGCTTCCCTCGCGGCTTCCCTCGCCGCCGCCTTCGCGCTCGCCTTGGTCGCCTTGGCGGACTTGGAATCGCCTTTCTCTTTCTTATTAGAGCCGCCCGCGCCGCCCGCGTGCGATGCTGGTCCATCTTTCGCCGCGTCCTTATCCGCGGGCGAGTCCGCGAGACCTCCTCGCGAGAGCGGAAATGCGATGTCCGCGTCGACGTCGGACAGGAGCACCCTCGCCGTCTCCGCGCATTTCGCCGCCGCGCGCGCCATCGCGCCCACGAGTGCGTCCGTGACTTTGAACCCGTCCGGGAGGATGTTGTCCCCGTGCACGAGGAGGTCTCTCGTCATCGCGCGCGCGATTTTCTTCGCCTCGGATTTGTAGTCGCCGCCGCCGCCGCACTGTTTCGCCTCCGAGCGGCACCGTTTCTCCCACTCCGCAGCCACCTCCTCGTACATCTCATCGTTTCCCTTCTCACTACGCCCCTCCTCTTCCTTCTTCTTCTCGCACTCGGCGTAGTACGCGTCCATCGGGTGTCCGTCCAACGCGACGGCGAAGTCCACGGCGGCGGCGGCGCACAACACGCGTCGAATCGCCGCCGCCGTCTGCGCCGCGCTTCGCGACGTCTGCGGCGCGCCGAGGCAAAACATCAACGCGGCGGTGACGTCCTCGTCCGGCACCGCGCCGTTGAGGAGCGCGGGGAGAACCTGCGCGACCGCCCACTCCCCGGAGCTCTCGTCGAGGGAGAGCGAGCTGATGTCGTTGAAGTCCGCGGCGCCGCGCGCGGGCGGCGGCGGCGGCGAACGGTCGTCGTCGTCGCCGCCGGCGTCGCCGGCGTCGCCGTCGTCGTCTTCCACGTCTCGGAACCGTTCGAGCGCCGGCGGCGGCAGCACCTTGCACAGCATCGAGCCCAAAATCATCGGGTGCGCGCACCGCGGGATCAGCCTGTGCGCCCACTGCGCGAGGAGCCGCGCGAGCCGCGGCGTCGCCGCGGAGAGCAGCGCGTTGAACTTCATCGCCATCGCCGACGACGACACGGAGAACGGCACCAGCGGGTCGTCGTCGACGTCGTACACCACGTCGTCCTCATCCTCGCCGTTGTTTGGGGTCCTACCCTTATTTTTCCTCCGGATTTCCATCATCTGGTCCTCGTACGCGGCGCGCTTCAGGACGTCGATGACGCACTCCACGAGCTCCTCCTCTTCGTCGTCCGCGAGCGCGCCCGCGGGGTCGCCCATCTTGCGCTCGCCCGAGTCCTCGACGCCAATCTTACCCTCGTACGTCCACCACAGCAACGTGATCAGCGCCTCGACGATGACGATTCGGAACTCCATGACGCCCATGAGCGTGGCCAACGTCGGTGAGCAACGGTTATAATTCAAATCGGCAGAAAAAGGGGCTGTGCAAGGTGCTGTGCCTTCGCGCGCCTCTCGCGCTTTTTCAATCATCTTGGGCGTCGCGTGGAGCGAAGAATCGGAATCGTCGTTCGAAGCCTTCGGATACGCTTTGCGAACGACGTCGAGTCGCATCACCGCGGGCTTGGTGCCGACGACAAAGACGTCGTCCGCGCGCAGGAGCGCGAGCGCGCGTTTCGGCGTGCACAAAAACAGCTGCAGCGCGGCGGTTATCGCCATGTGGTGCGCGCCGCAGTCCTTCCCGTGGAAATTTTCAAACGTCTCTCGGAGTTCGTCCTCCACGGACCATCGGCCGATCGTCTTCTGAAACTCCTCCAAATCGACGTCCGCTTTAAACTTCAACGCGTTCGCGATGAGCGCTCGAAGAATAAACGTCTGCGGCGAGAACGATTTTCCGTCGCCAAAGTCCTCGAGGTCCTCCTCGACGAACGCGAACGCCCCCGCGCCGTCGTCCCGCCCCTCCGGCGGCGTCGGATTCAAGTCGAGCTTCTTCTCCGAGACCAACGTCTCGACCCGCGACTTGGCGTGGAACAGCCGCTGCGCGTGCGACTGCTCGTCCAGGACCGGCATCGCGAGGTTCTCCCTCACGCGCGCCAGGCGCCCCGCCGCGGCCGCCGCGAGCGCGCCGCGCGGGCCGAGTTTGTCCACGAGACGTTTCGTCGCCGCGTCCTTGCCAGCCGCCGCGACGCCGCCGCCGCCGGGGATCGAACCGCCGCCGCCGCCGGCCGCCGCCGCCGCGCTCGTCGCCACCGCGTGCAGGAGCTCGTCGACGTCGCAGTCGTCCAGGTTGAAGTGCTCCGCGGCAGTGCGGAACGTGTCTTTGACGTCCGCGCCGGACATGCCGAGGTCGAGCAACGACGCGCTGAGGGTCGTTCCGTACGAGCGAACGTCGGGGTGGAGTTGAAAGGCGTCAGAAGCGGAGCTGAAAGGCGCCGTGGGCGGGGATTGAAAGCGAGGGGTGGGCGGAGAGACGCGCTGGGAAAAGTCCTTAAGGATCGGCGTTCACCACGCCGACGCGTCGTATGGGGACCAGTGTATAGAACGCACCTGAGCGCCTCGGCGGCGTTTTCGTTCATCGCCGCCTTCATTATCGCGGGGAGCATCGACGCCGCCCCCGCGACGTCTCCCTTTGAGAACCCGGACCCGCCGTCGTCAACGTCCGGGTTGAAGTAGCACACGTCCAGAACTTCCACCGCGAGCGCGATTGAGTCCTTGACGAGGTACCCGCCCTCCGGGTGCGTAAGGTCCTCCGTCGGCATGAACTGAATCACGTTCGACGTCCAGCGTTTCGACGACGTCGTCGCGTCCTTCCACTTGGTCCGGTCCGGGTGTTTCTGGTTCGTCACCGCGACGCGGTAGCGGACCCAGTAATCGCCGTCGCCGTCGCCGCCGCCGCCGCCGTCGCCGCCGCCGGTTCCGATTTTACCCCCCTCGCCGATCGCGCCGCCCCCGCCCCCGCCGGGGGGCGTCGTCTTATTCTTCATCGCGGACGGCGTCGACCCCTGATCGCTCTCGAGGTAGACGCACAGCGTGTCGAAGCTCTCGTACGCGCCGAGTCGGAGGTTGACCCCGCCCGCGGGGAAGAAGCGCGAGAAGAGCTTCCTCGTCTCGAGAATCCCGCGAAACGCGCTCACGTTTTCAATCTTCCACGTGAAGTCCACGTTCACGCCTCGCCCCGGGGCGTCCGCGGGTGGCGTCCGCAGCTTGGAGACGGCGTCGTCGGCGCCGTCGAGAAGATCGCCGTCCTCCTCCGCGGTCAACCGTCGAACGTTCACGACGTCGTCCGCGTCGAATCTCTTCTCCAGGGTGTGATCGGAGAGCCCGTCGTCGTGCGCGTCGACGTCGTTTAAATCGTCAATCTCGTCGTTCCATCGCGCGGCGTACTTGAGGACGATGACGCGGTCGTTTTTCGACAGCTGCAGCGTCCCCTCCCACCACTCCTCGCACCGCGTGGTCGGGTGCTTCGCGCACACGGCGACGCGCTCGCCGAAGTGCTTCGAGATGGTCTTCATGTTTTTCCCGAACGACCCGCCTAAACCCCACAGGAGTTTATCCCCCGCGAGCGTGTCTTCGAAGGACATGATGGCTCCCGCGACGCGCGTCGGGTCCATTTTTTTCAGCTCCGAGTGCTCCTTGAGGGGTGAAGCGATCGGTCAGTCGAACGTCTTACCGGTCAAACGTTGAAAGGGAAGCGCGGGTGAAGAGTGACGACGGGAAAAGTCCTTAAGGAACGGCGTTCACCACGCGAACGGGGTCGCACGGGGAGCAGTCTCGGTCTCGCGCACCTTGAGGACCAACACCTCCGCGACGAACACGACGCGGTCGCGCGCGGGGTCGAGAAACCCCGCGTCATTGTCGAACAAGGAAGTCAGAGGAAGGAACTCGCGCCATCCCCAGTCTTTCGCGGAGCGTCCGTACCGGTTTTGCGACTCGCGAATCACAGACTTGCTCGCGTCGTGGTGGTTCAAAACCCCCATCCGGTGCGACACGAACACGCTCCAGTTGTGTTTGCCCGCGGTGGGCGGCCGCCGTCGCCGCTCCGAGACGTTCGTGACCTCCAGAAACATCGAGAGCGACGTCGCCGGGGACTGTTGCCCGCGCGGGTAAATCACGACCCTGCAGTCTTTCCCGCCGACGACGAACCGTTTGCTCTTCACGCACAGACCGTTCATCTTGCGCTTTTTGAGTAAATCTTTGAGTTTCGTGAAGTTGTCGATCTTCCAGACGAACCGCGCGCGGTACGCGCCGTCGCCGTCGACGCCGCCGTGCCCATGCCGCGAGCCGCCTTTCCTCGTGTGATGAATCTTTTTATCCCGCGACGACCCACCGCCGAGAAACCCGCCGCCGCCCGCGCCGCCGTCGCGGGATATCGACCCGGGCGCGCCGTTCAGTTCGTCCGTCATCCACGCCATCGTGCTCGAGAGCGGCAAGCCGCCAATCTTCGGCGTCAGCGGGAACCCCGGACGCGCGCCGTGCGACTCGCGAATGACGTAGAAGGTCACCGCGAGCGTGACTTTCCCAGCCGCGCCCGTCGAGAACCCCTCCTCCGGATCGTCCAGACGCGACATGTCCAGGAAATCGTTCCAGCCCAAGCTCGTGTGGTCGCCGCCGTCCTCCCCGGACGCGAACCGCCCGTACGTGTCTCTGTGCGCGGTTTTCTTAGAGTCGACTTGGTTGACTAAGGACACGCGGAACAACAGCCACGCGGAGGGTTCGGCGCTCAGCCCGCCGCCGCCGTCGGACCCGCCGTCTTCGCCGCCCAACGCGCTGACCGCCCACTTGTCCAGCCCGCCGCCGCTTACGCCGTCGTCTTTGCTCTCGAGCTGAACGGAGAGGCTCGATCGATCGGTCCCGCCGCGCGCGCCGTCGATCGGGGCGTCTCTCTCGTCGACCGGTCGATCGAACGTTTGATAGGCGGCGACGGCGAAGTGGCAGTCGCCGGCGGGAAACTTCGGCGAGACGATCTTGTGCGTCCCCATCATCGCCCGAAACGCGTTGAAGTTGTGAATCGTCCACTGAGGGTCGTTCCATACAAAGCGATGTCGGGGTGGAGTTCAAAGGCGTCAGAAGCGGAGTTGAAAGGCGTCGAGGGCGGGGATTGAAACCGAGGGACCCTGGGCGGAGAGATGCGCCGGGAAAAGTCCTTAAGGAACGGCGTTCACCACGCCAACGCGGTCGTATGGGAACCAGTGTATAGAACGCACCTGAAACCTCCCGCTCGTGACCTCCTTCCCCGCGCCCGCGGGTAACCCCAGCGTCGTGCTCGATGTCGCGTCGCGCACGCTCATGGCCTCGTTCAGGTGCGGGTTCCCGGGCGGCAGGTCGTCTCGGGAGAGCTCCGCCGTCTCCGAGAGGACGACGATGTCCGCGCAGACGAGGACGACGCCGTCGAGGAGAAATTCCGGGTCGATGACCGCGAAGTCGCACCAGCCGTGGGATTTTTTCGTCGCGCTGAAGCGGTGGTAACTCTGCCGCGTGCGATTCTTCGTCGGGTCCGTCGGGTGCACCACGGTCAGCGCGTACCACGCGAAGCACTCCCAATTCCCCGGCGCGCCCCTCCCCTTGCCGCCACTGTCAGCGCGCGCCGCCGGCGCCTTCGCTCGCATCTCCAGGAACACGCTGCTGTATCCCGGCAGCGCCGCGGTGTCGCCCTTGGGGTACACCAGAAGCCGACATTCGTGCCCGCCGACGTCCTTCGCGTCGCCCCACAGCTGTCGCGCGCGCGTCGCGCCGAACTCCGGGAGCGTCCACCGCAGCGTCGCCGCGTGCTGGCCCTCTCTGAACGCCTCCACGAAGCCGACGCCGCCGACGCCCGCGGCGGCGACGACCGCGGCCTCGTCCGCGTTCAGCGCGACGCGCGGGGCGACGCCGTCGTCGCCGTCGCGCCCACCCCCTTCCTCGCGCTCGTGCGCGATGGGGGAGGAGCCGCGGTCGAGCGCGTCGGCCATGGCGGGGCGTTCGCGGGCGCGCGATCGCGTGCGTGCGCGCGGTGGGATATGTCGGCTCCCGCGCGCGCGCGCGTGCGTCTTCTCGCTCCGGCGCCGGGAGAGAGTGTGCGAGTGCGGCGGCGACGACGTCGCGATATCGATACAGGTACGCGATTCCGCCGCTTCTCGAGCCCTCCGAAAAAATGCACGCGTTTTTCACCCACCCCTCGGCTTCAACATTTGATGGCGTCCCCTTTCAAAACTGACCGATGAACATACCACGATACTTTGCAGTCCTGTCTCAGATCTCGGCTCCTTCCGTAAAATCGCCGTCGACGCGCGCGCGGGCAGAGCCAGGGGCGCGGCGCGGACCCGCCCCACCGCCCGCGAGCGCGGTCGCGCGCGTCCACGGCGGGATCCGAGGTCCCGTCTCTTCCCGCGGACGCGACGCGACGCGGCGCGCCGTCGTTCCCACTACGTTCTCGTCGTCGCGCGCGCGCTTCGGCATCTGACGGCGATGAATGAGCAGAAGGCGTCGCCGAGGAGACCCCCGAGGAAACCCCCCCCGGAGATGACGCGCGCGGAGGATCTCGAGGAGCTACGCAAGGAGTGGAAGCGCGACCGCGATCGCGCGTTCCGGGCGCGGCAGAAAGAAGCGAAAGCCGCCGTCGCCGACGCCGTCGCCGCCTGCGCGGCGACCGCGAACGCGAAGAAGAAGGATCCTCATCAGTCTACTAAAAAGCGCGACCAGGAAGATTCGCTCGCCGCGGAGGACGCGCGCGCGAAGACGAAGACGAAGACGGAACCTCCGAAAACGGAACCTAAGTACGCCCCGCCGTGGCCGCCCGACCGCCCTCCGCGCGTCGTCGTCGTCGGCGCCGGCCCGGCGGGTCTGTGCGCGTCGCGCGCGTTGACTTTACACGGCGTCTCCGTGACGACGCTCGAGGCGCGCGATCGCGTCGGCGGCCGCGTCCTGTCCGAGACGCTCCCGGAGCTGAAGCGCGACGACGTGAGCGCCGTCGCGCTTCCGAGCGTCGTCGTGGACCTCGGCGCGTCGTTCGTGCACGGCTGCCATCGGTACAACCCTCTGTTCGCGATGGCTCAGGCGCGTTCTATACAAAAGTTTGTTTTTCACCCATCGCATCGTTCGTTTTCAACATTTGATCGCCACACGGCACGGGTCCCTTTCAACTGACCGGTGAACTACTTTTTTTGTACGGAACGACCCTAAGGAGTCCGGCGCGGCGTTGGACGCGAGCGACGGCGGCTACAGCGCGGGGTGGGGCGAAGACGCGAGCTGGTACGACGCGACGCGCGGCGGGAGCGTAGGTAGGAAGTCCGTGAAGCGCGCGTTCGCGGTCGCGAGGGGGCTGAGCGACGCGTTGGGTACGGTGGAGCCGCCGCTGACGCGAGACGAAGCGCTCGCTGCGGTGGGTGCGTTCTATACACTGGTCCCCATATGACCGCGTTGGCGTGGTGAACGCGATTCCTTAAGGACTTTTCCCGGCGTGTCTCTCCGCCCAGGGTCCCTCGGTTTCAATCCCCGCCCTCGACGCCTTTCAACTCCAACTGACGCCTTTGAATCTCACCCCGACGTTCGCTCGTATGGAACGACCGTCAGAACGCGAGAGGAAAAACGCGGGCGGGTGGCGATCGCACGGCGACGGGTGGAGAGCGAACGGCGAGTGGGGCGCGCTCGACGTCCGCGCGATGGGCACGGAGGTGCTGTGGGGCGACGCGGAGATCGAGAGGGAGCGGGTGAAGCACCTCGACGCGATCGCGGACGCGCGGCGGGACGCGTCGTTGGCGGCGGCGTGCGAGATGGCGACGGCGGGCGGCGGCGTCCTCGCCGCCGCCGCCGCGGCGAAGAAGCGCAAGGAGAAGCCGCTCAGCGGCAAGGAGCTCGAAATTTTAGAGTCCGCGAAGGTTGTCATGTGGGCGTACAACGCGCCGCTGAGGCAGATATCGACGCGGTACCAGCGATACACCGCGGAGGACATCGAGTCGGCGCGCGAGCGGCTCGTCGCGGCGCCGACGACGCCGTCGCCGCCGTCGACGCGCGGTGGGACGACGAACGACGTCGACGCGGGCGGCGCGCGAGGAGATGCCGCGTGCGAGCCGCCCTCCGACGGCGAGGACGAGCCCGTGGACCTCAGCGACGGGTTGGTCGTCGGCGGGTACCGCGGCCTCGTCGTCGAGCGCGCGGCGGAGGGCGTGGACGTGCGGTTGAACCAGATCGTGACGTCCGTGTCGTACGCGCGACCGGGACCGGCGACGATGGACGCCGAGGTGAAGAAGAAGAAGACCGGGAGCAGGTTTCCTCGAAGATGCCACGCGGCGGCGGTCGACGAATCGAAATCCGCCGCGTGGGCGCGGGACCCCGGGCCGCCGCGGTGCGTCGTGACGACGGCGACGGGGGAAAAACACGCGTGCGATTACGTCGTGATCGCGCTGCCGCTGGGCGTCCTCCAACGCCGCGCGGCTCGATCAACGGTGGAGTTCGAACCCGAACTGAGCGAGAGCAAGCGCAGGGCGATCGCGTGCGTCGGCATGGGCGTGGAGAATAAGGTAATCATGCGCTTCGACGAAGTGTTCTGGCCGCGGCGCGCGAAATTTTTTCAGTGCACGGATCAGCGGTTCCGGTTCCTCAACCTCCACGCCTACGGGAAGCAAAACACGCTGTGCGCGCACGTCGCGCCGCCGTTCGGCGAGGGTTTCGACGGCATGACCGATGAGGAGGTCTTAACCGAAGTCATCGGGACGTTACGGAGAATGTTCAAAAAGAACAACGCCGCGGCGTCGACGCGCGCGAAACTTTTGGATCACCGCGTCACGCGATGGGGCGAGGACCCCTTCTCTTGCGGCGCCTACTCGTACATGCGCGTCGGGTCCACGAAAGCGGACATCGACGCGCTACGCGCGCCAGAGCACGACGACCGCGTGCACTTCGCCGGCGAGGCGTGCAGCGTCGAGGGCGCGCAGTGCGTCCACGGCGCTTTGCTCACCGGCCAGGGCGCGGCGGCGGCGATTCTGCGCGCGTGCGGCGCCGCCGTGGGTGCGTTCTATTTCCACACTGGTTCTCATACGACCGCGTTGGCGTGGTGAACGCCGATCCTTAAGGACTTCGCCCCCCGGCGTGTGTTTCTCTCCGCCCACCACCCCTCGCTGGTTTCGATCCCGACGCGCCTCGACGCCTTTCAACGCCGACTGACGCCTTTCGACTCCGCCCGCCTTTCAACTCCGCCTTTCAACTCCGCAGATCCGTCCGCGCTCCTCGGCGGCGACGTCGGCTTGTCCTCCGACGACGCCGACCCCGCGGCGTTCAACGGCGACGGCGACGACGTCGGCCCGCCGGAGTCGTGGGCGCAGTGCGCGATCGCGCAGTGCGGCCGTTGGCGTCGCGTGCCGGTTCATATCCCCGCGGAGAGCCTCCCGGACGACTGGACCTGCGGCGACTGCCACTGGCACGAGGGGATTCGAGAGCACGCGTGCGCGGCGCCGCAAGAACCGTGGCCGGACCTGCCGGGGTGGGACGACGACGACGAGGCGAGCGTGATGAGCGCGAAGGCGGTGTGGAACGCGTGGACGCACACGTGGAAGAAGGAAGCGGAAGAGAAGAAGAGCGGGAAGAGGGGGCACGCGAGGGACTGGCTCAGCGGGTGAACAGAACAGATGAAGGCGGAGGAACACTTGTCTCTTGGACGGACCCTCAAACCGAAACTCTCAATCATCATCATCACACGTCCCCGCGCGCGCGCGCCCGCGCCGAGGCGGCCCGCGCCGCGCCGCCTCGCGCGCCCTCTCGTCGCGGCATGTCCTCCGCCGCGCGTCCGCCGCAGCCGCGATGCCGCGGCTGCGGCGACGCTATCTCCGGCGCGTACCTCGCGTTCGAGGGGCGCGACTACCACGCCGGATGCTTGCGATGCGACGAGTGCGGCGCCGCGACGTCGTCGTTCGTCGCCGCGCCGAACCGCGCCGGTTCGGCGCGGTGCTGCAGGCCGTGCGCGGAGAGGCTCGCGGACAGGTGCGCGTGCGGGTGCGGCGGGCCGTGCGTGGACCGGACGATCACCGCGCTCGGGAGGAAGTTCATCGAGTCGCACTTTCGATGCGCGGAGTGCGACGCGCCGCCTCCCGGGATGTCGTTCATGAAGGTCACGCGCGCGGACGCGTCGCGGCACATGCACCACGCGCACCTCCGTCGCGGCGGCGGCGACGACGACGCGAGCGAGCACGTTCCCGTGTGCGAGGCGTGCTACGAGCGCAACCACGCGGAGCGATGCGGGGTCTGCGAGGCGAGTCTGGTAAACCAAAAGTTTTTCAAAACCGACGTCGGCGACGCCGTGTGCGCGCGGTGTAAAGACGCGACCGGCGCGTACTGCGACGACTGCGGCGCGTGCGTCCCGCGCGCGTTCGCGCTCTCGCGACGGTTCGCGGGCCTCCAGACGCGCGGCGCGAGCCCGGGAGGAGGAACGCGGAACGTCAACCGTCACCACCGAACCGCGCGCCGAGAGAGCGGCGGCGTCGCCGTCATCGGCCAATGCCCCGCGTGCGCGGCGACGGCGATCGACGCCGACGCGGACGCGGCGGCAATCCTAAACAAAGTCATCCACGCGATGCGAGGGATGGGCGCGGTCGCGGACGCCGCGGCGACGATCAAGGTGCAGCTCGTAGACGCGGACGAGCTCGCGAGGGCGGCGGCGAAGCGACATCGCGGACCGAACGCGTCGGGCCCGCGCGGCGTGACGCGCACGAGCGTCGCGTACGAGGAGTGCAGGGCGACGGGCGCGCGGAGGACGGTCTCGCGGACGTTGAAGGGGATCCTGGCGCTTCGGGGGATGTCCAGGGGCGCGTGCGGCGCGGTCCTCGCGCACGAGTACGGGCACGCGTTTATGTTTCTCTCCGATTTCCCGGCGTTGCCGCTGAGGTGCGTTCTATACACTGGTTCCCATACGACCGCGTCGGCGCGGTGAACGCCGTTCCTTAAGGACTTTTCCCAGCGCGTCTCTCCGCCCACCCCTCGCTTTCAATCCCCGCCCTCGACGCCTTTCAACGCCAACTGACGCCTTTGAACTCCACCCCGACGTTCGCTCGTATGGAACAACCCTCAGAGACGAGGAGGGAGTGTGCGAGCTGTTCGCGTGGCTGTGGCTCGGCGGCGGCGCGTCCGGGACGTCGTGCACAACGACGAACGGCGAGGACATCGGGCTCACCGCGCGGTGGCGGAAGAAGATGGAGACGAGGGAGGACCCGGTGTACGGCGACGGGTTTCGCGCGGCCAAGGCGGGGTACGACCGATGCGGACGCGACCTGGCGAGGTTCCTCGAGCGCGTCAGACGCGACGGAAAGTTGCCGTGACGACGACGCGACGCGAGCGTTCCTCGACGTGAAGCGCGCGGACTGGACGCGTTCGTCGTCGCACTCGTTGTTAGTATACTGTATGCTACGATAGTATAGAAGGAAGAAGCGTGTTGCTGCCGCCGCTGCTGCGCGCTGTGCTTCGCGCCTTACGGCGGCGCGAACACGCGTCGGGACTCGTACAAATACGCACCCTTCTTCTTCCGATCGTACCCCCGCACTGGATGATACCCGCGCTTCGGCGGCGGCGTCGTGCGCTGGACGCCGCCCTTCCGTAACCCCGCCGCGCTCCCGCCGTCGCCCCGGATGTACGCCATGACCGGGGACGCGATTTCGATGCGCCGCGACCGGTCCGCGGGGTCGCGAGGGAGGTTCAGGGATTCTCTGGCGACGCGCGACACCGGCGACGGCGTCATAATAATCTCCTCTCGCGTTCCCTCGGACGACGCCGCAACCGACGCCGTGGACGCCGTGGACGCCCTGACGCCGCCGCCGCCGCCGCCGAGAGATATCCTTCTCCGCGCCTTGATCGGGCTCGCCCCCGATGGCGGCGGCCCGGTCGCGATCGATACCGTGGTTTGAACCTGCGCGCCGACCCCGACGGGCGACGTCTTCGGACTCGGCGTCGGCGTCTTCTTCGGCGTCCGCGCCCGCGGCTGCATCAGTCCGTCCCTCTCGAGCGAATACACCGCGGTCGTCGTCCGTAACGCCTTTACCTTATGCGTTAACTTATTCTCTCTCCGCATCCCCCGACCGAGCTCCGCGACGAGCGCTTTGATCGCGCGCTCCCGCGCGGCGTGCGCGCGGCGGACGCTTCGTTCCACCGCGGCGAATGAGATCGCGTCGGCGCGCGTCGTGACGTCCCCGCCGCCGCCGACGCCGTCCCACGCGTGGGTATACGTGCTCATGACGTTCACGACGTCGCACAGTCTCGTCGCGACGTCGATCGCGCGCGACGCGACGCCGTGCGCGTCGTCGACTCTGCGCTCGAGCGCGTCGAGGCCTTCAAGCGCGACGCGGACGGAGGAAGCGGCGAGCCGGCCGGCGGCGAGCGCCTGCGGGCCGTTCCATATAAGCGAAAGTCGGGGTGGAGTTGAAAGGCGTCGAGAGCGGCGATTGAAAGCGAGGGGCGGGCGGAGAGACACGCCAGGCAAAGTCCTTAAGGATCGGCGTTCACCACGCCGACGCGGTCGTATGGGAACCAGTGTATAGAACGCACCTGAGTCTCCCGCCACGCGCCGCGTCTCTCGTCGGTATCTCGGGGGGTATCAGGGTTTTGGTGGTCAGGGTTCGGGGGTAGGTTTCGCTGGTTTCGCTTCGTCTTCGTCGTCCGCTTCTCGCGGATCTCGAGCTCGGACAGCGCGCGAAGCAGGTCGTCGCGTTCCGCCGTCGCGTCGGCGGCGCGCGCGTCTGCGTCGTCCCTCGCCTTCGCCGACGCGCTCGCCTCGCGCTTCGCCGCGTTCGCCGCGCCGAGCGCCTTCGCGGCGTCCACCCTCGCGTCCGCCAGCTGCGTCACGAGGTCCTGGACCTCCTCCGCGTGCATCACCGTCAGCTCGATGGCGTCCGCGTCGAACTCGTCCTCCTCCTCCTCCTCCACCAGATCG